AATCCTTTAATTACCTAGACTTAGATCAAGCATATGCTACCCACAAGTTTCAAGTTCAGAGTAAATCCTTATATCAAAACAGTTTTATCCAAAACTTGGGAGAATTCAAGGCTAAAAACTAGGTACTTGAAAGGAATTACAACAGAGGGACTATTCATCATTTCCATTTTAAGAGATTATCTTCAAAGTCCTTTTTATTTTATTCAGCTCTTAAAACAAATTAAAGCAAATTGGGCACACTCTCTTTATTTTATTTTCATTTTTTAGATCACACATTATAACTATGACTATATTTCTATAAATATAACTTTGACTTCATTTTTAGTTATTCATCTTTTTTTCTAATATATATAAAGCAAACTAAGAATAATAAAAGGAAAGAAATACTTATCTAGATACATGGGGAATGCCTTCTCCCCCAAGCTGGTTGTTGTCGTGGTTGCTCAACGAGGTGGTCGGATGTGGAGGTGCTAGAACAGAGCCTCCCAATTTTGATTTTGTTGTTGCTGTTGTTGCTGGAAGCTGGCTATCTCCTGTCCCATGCTTACCTGCCATTGTGTATGATTGTGTAACTTACATTGGATGGCAGGTGTCCTCTCATCAATGGTTGTGAGCTTGTTGTCGAATTCAGAACATCCACTTGTAGAATTTGGGGGATTGACTCCCCCACACTTTACTTGAAGTGTGTTCTGCTCATAAAGATAAGGTAGAGATCAAGTGCATGAGCTCTGTTGGTGGGAAAACACCAACAGAACCAAAACTTTATTTACTCTTCTCTAGCCTTAAGCACATTGAATCACGATAAAGCTAATGTTATGTGCATTATTTATTCTTATAACATGGGTGATAAGATCAGAAGGATGTAGCATTTTGACTATGACAAAAAGAGTGGAGTTGCTTAACCTATGGAAGGATTGTCCATCTTTATAATATATCAAACTTTACATGATTATGACTATTATCTTCCAAGGGTAAGATATGCAAAATTTTAGCTCATTTGGTTAAGACTATAAGATCAAGAAAGTGGTGCTATGAACAAGCTTAAGGAACAAAACATGTTGAGTTAATCAGATTGGATTAAGCAAAATTATAACTCAAACATGTTTGTTTCTTCATTTATGTGCATACCAAGATCAAGAGGAAAATGATGACCACTTACCTTAAGATGTTACCTTCATTATTGGAGCGTGATGACACCATGTGATGAAGGGTAGATGACTTGTGGTGGTCTTCTCTTCCTGCTTGAAGGTTTCCTTGCTTGGGCTATTCATGAGCATCTTGTCTCCTATGTTGCACTCCTTCTTTCTTATTCTTTTGTCATGCCATCTTTTTGTCCTTTCTTTTGTGGATCTTGGTATTGTGTTAGACCTTCTGCTCTACTCATCGTTTCTTCTGTGCAAAGGATTAGTAGACAACAGATACCTGAAAGAATATATAAATGATTCAAAGCAAGGATAGTGATGTCATAGAGCCAAAGTCACCTTCTATGCTACAGAAAAGTTGGTTCTAACATTTTAATTTGCATAGAATCTTTATCCCATGTTTTAAATAGTGTACCTTGATTGTTCACTACTACTTCAAATTTTCAACAAGGTTAAGGCAAAGATGTGTAAAATCATTTTGAAAAATACCTCAAACCTTGATCTATTTCTACGAATGATCTCCTAATATTTCCAACAAAATTTGAATATTTTCCTACAAGGGTTAGTCCATATATACAACCAAATTCTTGTAGCACCTAGTTTTAAGGACAAAACCAGATACACACCATATGTGAGCCCAGGAAGTCAAATCTCACATATAGCTACAAATAAGGGTAATATCAATAGACAATGTTCAATATATAATATACTTAGTATAAAGAATATAACCTTAGATAGCAAACAGTGGAAAGACAACTCTAATCTTTGGGTGAAGACTCCAATCCATAGGAACAACTGACTCGTTGATCACAAGCCTAATTCCTCCAAACTCTAGCAATCTGGTACCCATCCAGGATTTTTGTCCAAATAATTGAAAAATAAAGCAAGCGTAAGTACATGTCGTAGTCAACAAATATATCATGGGGTTCATGAGGCTCAAAAGGCTAACACTGGTTTAACTGCGATTAGCTTTCAATGAGTCATTTTTTAGCAATTGGGTGGCAATAAGTTTATTCACAAGCCCATGTAAACACATGATCAAGTAAACATGAATAATGAATACATAAACAGTAATCATTAGTGAGCATTTTTATTATCAGTATCATTAGTGTTCATCATCTATTCCATAAGGGTCCAAGTCCGCTTATAACCGTGAGCACGGCTGATATACCAGTTTTACACTCTGTAGAGGTTGTACACTTTCCCTGTGAGTCGTGATTTACCCTTTCGCTCAAGGTGATCAGCCTCTTGACCCACTACCAAGGAAGGTTAGCAGGGTTCACTATGAAGCCTTTTAACGGTTCGTCTAACAAGTTAGGGCCGCTAAGGTTTCCCCATCAATAAGCATGAACCCCCCTCCAAGGAGTGACTATCAAAGTACCAAGAAACCAAAGTGCACCCTCTTGGCAGGCTGAGATCATACCTATCAAAGCCCCTCTTGCGCCATAAAGGCAACCACTAACAAGCCAGAAAAGGTCCTCATGCTGAGCTAAAGCCAGAGCCATGTAGGCCTCACAGCTGTACTGTAAGTTCCAGATGTTCGCTTACAGATAAGTCCTTAGGGAGAGGAATCTAGAGCACCATGAAATAGCCCAATGCTCTAGCCCCCTTGTTCCATGTTGCTAAAAAGCATCTTTTAATGTTTATTGCATATACCATTAGTCAAGTTACAAGATCATGGCTTTAGTTGAGCACTAGCAAAGCTACCCAATGCAATAACCCAAAGGTGTCAAGGAATCCAAGATATCAATTAGCTAGGAAAATTACTATAGTTGCCAAGGCAGACTCATGCAGCATGCATTAAATGATTAACGGTGTATAGGACAATAAGAAAGATCTCATGCTATACTTACCTTAAAACTCTGATCTTCTTCTAGTCCAAATTTTCAAAGATCTGCTTCTTGATTCACCATGTATAGCTCACCGACTGGACATGTTCATAAAGCACCACACAAACATCCGTGCAATTATACACAAAGCAAACAATAGAACTAAATTAAAATAGTACACCAAACATATGAAACAACGAGTGAAAAGGTTTTAAAGATGTTCTACACGTTACTACGAACACATAGACGCGAAGAACACGCTAATCGGAGCTACGATTGAAAAGATACAACTACCGAGAGATCTACTTTTAAAGAAAACTATAAGCTTTATTTATTTTAACTATATAAAAGCTTGTATAAATTGAATTAGGTCAAATAGAGATTTGAATTATAAAACTAAAGTAAAACAAATCATATTTTATTTATAAACTTTAGTTGTATAATTCTTATTCAAATTTGAGTTTAAACCATGAAATTCCAGAAATATGGACATGATAAACACAATGTTTTCCTAAATGGTAAACGGTCTTTACACGGTCGCCCTTCGTTTAGCGTTTAGGCTATTTACACGGTATTTAAACAAAGTTAAACGGTCTAAACGGTTTTGTACTTTAAAAAAAATACATATAATTATATATGTGCATGTAAAAAATCAAGTATTCTAGCATTTATACATATTTATCCAAGTAAAAATCAATTATTTTGGTATGTATAAATATTTATGCATGTGAAAAGAACCAAATATAGATATTTATGCATGTAACATATCAAGTGTACACATTTATAAATATAATAAACTTAAGTATACAAATTTATCCATATAAAATTGAACGAGATTTACCTCGTGTTCGCCTAAACAGCCATTTTAACAGCTGCCTAGCCCGTTTAATGATGTTTATCTCCGTTCCGTTTAGGCCGTTTAGACCGTTTTTCTCGTTTTTTTACCATTTAAACGGTCAACCGTTTAATTTCCGTTTACCCATAAACAAAATAGTTTACCACCATTTACCGTTTACTGGGCGTTTATTTAGGTTGTTTAGGCGAACACTGGATAAACATTGTTACTAATGCGTAGTTTATGTTATTACGAATCCAACACAACTTGAATGGGCTAAAACAGAGTTGAAACATAGAAGATATGAATTACACAAGATTTTCTTTAGTATAATAATAGATTAAATCTAACCTCGAATTTGAAAAGTTGAAAACATATCTAATAATGGTATGAACATGTAGATTATGAAATTACGAACCTAACGCAAGTTGAACGGATTAAATCGAGTTAAATCGGAAATTTTATGGCTTAAACATGATTTGTGGCAAAACTATAAAATAGATGAAAACGTACTTTTGAAGTCAACCGAACAAAATACGCTTTTAAAAGAAGAAAGCATAATCTGTGAAATACGCAATGGACCACGGGTTCGATAATAGAAAATGTAGGGGCTCTTTGGCAAGAATGATAGGACGGCGTGCGCAAATATATGAAAGCCGAGGGGCTCCTATGCAATTAAGCCACATGAAGGGGTACGATCTAATCCTAGCCCTTGATCTTGGATTGGACGGACGAAACTAGATCATAGAGAGAGAAAAGGTGTGGGCGACTGGCGGTGAGGTTTGATGGCAGTGGCGCCATGGCCGGCACGGTGGCGTTCTTTGGGAGGAGCCTACGGGCTATGGTTTTGCATGGGAAAGGCACAGAAAGAGAGAGAACGGCGAGGCGAACTTACCATGGTGGATTTCGGCAGCGCGGAGCGGACGGCGATGGCGTGTTGTGCATGGTGAGGCGGCAGCTATGGTGGCGCTAGGGTTCGACAGCGCGGCGCGTGGCTAGGGCTTGAGCGAGGATGGCTGGATGCTCCAGGTTTCGGAAGAGGCGGCGCATGCTCGGTATTTAAGGGATGGAGGCCTTGGGGCGCACGCCATTGGAAGGAGTCATGGCAGCGGCAGACCCAGACTTAGTGACAGAGTCATGACTGGCTCGGACACAAGCTAGGGGAAGGAGACGGCACTGACATGGGTGGCCCACATGTCAGCGAGCGAAGGGTGCAGGGCCAGCGGCCAGAGATGGTGTGAGAGGGAGGTGGGTGGGTGGCCTCACGCTTGACAGCCTCGCCTTGACTCTTGGTGGGCCACTGCACAGTGTTGGGCTAGTGCAGAGGGAAGGCAGGGCTTGGTTAGTTCTTGCCATTTGAGGCGCTAGTTGGGTCGTAGAAGAGAGAGGGGAAAGAGGGCCACATGGGAGAGAGAGCGCACTAGGCTGCGGGGCTGAGGGAGAGCTAGGCTAGAAGAGGGAGAATAGGCCGGCTGGGCCAGAAACCGAGAAGGAGAGGGGAAATAAAAGAAATTCCTTTGTAATTTCTTAAACCCAATTTTCAAATCCAAATTCAATCCAAATTTGAATCTTTTTGAAGTTTTGATCAAACCCAAGCATCACAAAATAAATATGCAGCTGCATGTATGCACAAACATGTTGCTACCGTATGATAAATTTTAAATTAATGAAAATATTCTTTTTCCTATATTTCATGTGCACAAAAAATCCAAATCAAATCATTTTAGCTCTATTTCCAAAAATTCAAATTTTAGGGTGTTACAATTCTATACAAGTATATTTTGATTCAATAATCATGTCTGAATAATATTCTTAAACATACTTGTAACAGAACAAGGAAGGTTAAAAGACTAAAGAGATTCATTCAAGTAAAAATAAGAATATGTATGATGAACCAAGGGAGCATGATTATTTAGATTTTTATTTGTTAGTGATTTGGCAAATCGAGCACATCGTGAAGGTAAAGATGATCAAGACAAATTAGCAACACGGCATAAGATGTTTTTAAAGAACTCCATCCCCCAGACTTGAATTTTGCAAAATGCAAAATCTAGCTTGGATGATAGAATTCTTCTATGAATGTGATTCTATGTTATGTAATGCTTGGTTGAATATACCTTATGTTTTCCTTCTTTTTGTTAAAATGATTAGTGACAAACATACCTGAAGGAAACTTGTTCGATGTACCTATCAGTGAGGGCTTCATGGCTTATTCGATTTACCAGTTGATGAGAGCTCGTAGTCCGTTAAGTAGGACCTTTTCTTGCATTAAGCCCCAATCTTGGAGATGAGGATACGGACAATTGCATGCTCTTCTTCCTTCAACCTTTCTTGATTTTTGTTGATTCTTGGTTGACGAATTGGGGTTCATTGGAGATGCAACTCAAGTTCCTCCTTAATTGTCTAACGGTGTGGGAGAGAGTTGTTCTTCTTTGTTTGTTAGCGATATGCCAGCCGTCTTGATGATCAAAGAAAGATCCTCATTGGTACTCGCATGGAAGCTTCATCTTCAATGACTAGGGGATGTCTTTGGGCGACCATGGTCGTTTACAGCCTTACGAGACATAGTCATCAGTGAACCATTGATTGATGATGCTTGTTGACACAATGATGCATGCCATGATGTAATGTCATCTCGTTGTCTTGGTCCAATTTGCTGACGTGCGAGATGGTGTCTTTGAAGGTGATGAAAACAGGCATCAGATTGGCTGATATGAGGTGAGTTGCACCTTGCTTCTCATCAACCTCCTAGCTTGAGTCCTAGAAAGGCTCAATGCTAGGTTATCTTTGATGTTGCTCATAGCCTGTCAATTTGTTTGTCCGCTTCTTCTGAGTGAGTGCTTTTTATGGCACTCGTCTTCTTTTTTCTTCTTTGTTCCAAAACTGAAGTGGTGGTTTGGTTTAGGTTTGTAGGTTCATACTAAACTATGAACAGGCATAGCTTATATTTATGCTTCCTGCAAAATGTTAATGGACACATACCCGAGGGAATACAACGAATTTGAAACATGGGTTGTTATCCATAATTTTTGTGATTCTCTATGCTAATGAAAGGATGGTTTTAGGATTACTTTAGCAAAGATTTTGTTTTATCATGTTTTATGTGCTTGCTGCATTCTAGCATGGTTCAAGGCAAAGATAACTTGCAACAGAAGGTAAGTGAATAAACCTTAATACTCACAGTTCTTCCATCCATGAGGGGAGAGTTGTGTCTTCTTTTGTGCAAAGTTATTGGAGTTCATCATATGCCTTGATTCATCTCTGATGTGAATTTATCTCACGACTTTCCCAAAGTGAATTTGAGAGTTTTCTGCAGGGGTTAGGCCAACAAAATATACAATGTCTATACAGGTAATTTTTAGTTCAATAACCAAACTAGACTCCATGTCTAATTTTGATTAACGAAGGCATTTCAACCTAAGCACCATGGTTAATTCAAAAGCCTATGGAAGTATGTCAAGTACTTCCAAACCAAAGCATACTATAGCAAACAAAGGTAGCATGAAAGCACTATAGAGATTTATTCAAATAGAGATGAAAAAGAGCATGATCATAGTGAGAGATTTTTTTACACTTGGACCTTCATGTGTCCATATATTTTTTTTTCTTTTTAAATGCAAATGATATGAATGTATGTAAGGAGCTAAACATGTTGTGGATTTGATATGAGAAAATTTAAACTAAACGTAGTGGATGCATGGATTATTTAAAGTAAACATGCATTGGAATGCAAAAAGATAACTACTCATTAAGTTTAAAGTCCATGAGCATGACTGTCTCACATTTCTTGATCATACTTACCATGTCTCACATGATCAAACTTGTGAGTAGTGTAGCATTTGTTTCCATCACTTGAGATGTGATTTGAATTCTTGTGATGTCGACCTTTTCTCCAATCTACACATGGTTAGACAATATGTATATGTTTATACAAACCTGTGAGATGGCAGGGTTCCAGTGTTGATGGATCTTGAATGCTCAGGCCCCCAGGTTCTTCAATGTTTTTCTTGTGGAAGCTCACCGGAAGGTCGAAATGTCATCTGTTGTTTTGTCTTATTCCACAATTCAACAGAACAGGGGTAATCCTACTAAAGCTAGTGGTATGTTAATGATCTAAATCTTTACACCAATTGTTTCCCCGGCAACAGTGCCAAAAATACTTGTTGGTATTTATAAGTGCAAATACAATATGAAGAATTCCGCAAGCACACAGAATACCACTATAGCATTTTACCGGGAGTGTTCCAGGTATCGTTATTTATATTTTACCACAGGGAAACAATGGAGTAAAGATTTATTAGATAACAAAGGAATGTCTACTAATCAACATACCAACATAGCTAGAGCAAGGGGTAGAGGTAATGATAGGAATTAAAGATAATGACACTCAGTGGATATATCACTAAGATAATGTAAACTAGTTAACTCAGGAGAATAATAGGTAAGGTAGATTCCTATGATATTCTTATTACATGATAAAAGTATATATATATATATATATCCAACTATAGTTAAGACTAACTCTACTCTTGAGCACTTCAGGACACCGCTTAGATGGTAGAGAACCCACAATAGATAACTCTACCGACGTGACTATGATCCTACAATTTAAGAACCTGCTCAATTCGGAGTGGACTACAAAGGATAGATGGGGCTGTCACCTCCCGCTGCTACCACCCAACCAGAGAACAGGGTGTACTCATAGGCAGAGCATCGTATAAGCACCATGCTTACATGACGCTCGGCTACTTAGCCCAATTGATAAACTAGCATGCTAAGCGCTTTATGAACCTGCACACAAAAGTAATGATAACCTCAACGAAGCAAGATACATATTAAAAGTAAGCATAGTATGTAGATAGAAATATGATGAATTCATAATAAGTCTTACAAGATGTGCAAGTAAAGATATAAGGCTTTCTCGAGCCTCCAAGACTAGATCCAGAACTTGAGCATGAGCCCAACTCGACCCTCACTCCCAAGCTACTAATCTACTACATTGGAGAGTCTAGACCTAATACTCTTGGTGTATCTTGATCTCTGAATGAGAGGTATGAATTAGGGTTTCAGGAATGCTCTAGGGAGGGGGGTAGGGGCTGCTATATATGGGGGCGCCTGGCACCCTCCCCCTCTTAGTTAGCCTCATTGGTACTAAACTTTCCACCATATCTCATTAAAATGCACATGGGCCTATATGGGCCAAATTCTGAATTGGGCTAACTAATCCTGCAGCTCATGATGTGGAATTTTTCTTTTATTTGTGAAATTTATATCTTTTCATTCTGAGCTCTAAGTATAGCAAATAATATATTTGTTTCGATTAGCTCGATGAGCTCTTCGCAATGGTGCATTCCAATTCATCATTTGAGATTGTTTTGTTCTGTGAAAAATTAAATATTCTGTGAGACAAGTGAGAGCACCAAAACTCATGGAACTTATTAGAATCAAACCCTACAACTTTGTTTGGTGATGGAATTAAGTATATATGCAAATTATGTTGACGGTTTATAATTGGTGTTAGTGACCGTCAACACTTACTTTGCGGCTCATAGGTTCCATTGAGGTATGCGAATATGGGTGATTTCCAGTCAATGCTTGAGATAGCGTGGATGCTGCATGGCTGCTCTTCCTCTTCCCGTATAGCTATGACTATTAGCTCTTGATAGAATACGTCTACTAGCATTGGCGCTCTTTGCGTAGCTATTTTCGCCAGCTCATTGGCCTCACTATTTTTGCTTCTTGGTATGTGGCAAAAAGTGAACCCAATGAAATGCTTTTCCATTCTTCTTACTGCTACCAAATACTTTATTAACTCTGGCTCCTTTGTGGTCAACTCTTTCTCAACATGCCCCACTATTACCTGAGAGTCTAACCGGACTACACATCTTCTAACACCCATGGCCCTGAGCTTTCATAGACCCAATAGCACTGCCTCGTATTTGGCTATATTGTTGGTTGTGAGGAATTCTAGCCTTGTTGCATAACGAAGCTTAGGACCTTTCAGAGGTGTTAATATTGCTGCTATGCCAGCGCCGGCCATTCCCCAGGCTCTGTCACAAATGCACTGTCCAAGTTGGTTCTTTGAATTGTAATGTGGTGTCAAAAGTCGCTGGGGTCTAATCTGCGATGAAGTCTATGAGTGCCTGTGACTTGATTGCTGATCTGTGTTCGAAATCGACTACAAACTAATTTAACTTGGTGGCCCATTTTCCTATCCAGCCGATGGCTTCGCTATTGCGAAATAGTGC